AAGCTAAATGGATCAGCAAATACTGTATGGAAAGAAAAGCTCCTCTGTAGGCAGGTATTTGTACACACATATGTGTCTATCTGGAACCTGCTGGTGCATATCTGTGTGTAGTTTTACTCGGGCTCATATAGATGAAGTCAGTCCTCCCCAGACCACCTTGAGGTGCATGAAAAGGGCTTAGCAAGCCAGCTGCAGTGCAAAGGATAAAGAAATATTGGCCTCCTGAGACCTAGTCCATTGCTTCAGGCAAAAGCCACAATGCCTCAACCTGCTTTTATGGCCTGCCCCACAGAACTACAGCTGCTGACTTAACTCTGGAGGCAACAATTCATTCCAGAGGCAGAAACCATCCTGTAGCATTGGGAGCCACCTTGTTGTTAGTGGTGCCTCCTGCGTGGGCAACATTTTTCACTGGTCCCCTCTGGGCTTCTGTGGTGACATGGAAGAGGCTGCAGTTGACACTGTTCTGTCCCACATGGCAACAGACTGTAAGTGTGTGGGTTTTGCATTCTGCCTGAAGAGAGACCTTAGAAAGGTCTTGTCACTAGAAAGGAGACCTTAGAAAAAGATGTGGAAAAAAAATTAAAAAATTCCAACAGAAAGACAAAGGAGAAAGCTCAGATCTTTGAAGATCTCACACCTGATGTCCTGAGAAGTCTGATGTCTTATTTTGCCACTGCTCAGAGCTAAGGAATCAAAGCAATTAGCATTGAATCATGCTGTAACCCTGTAGGATGGAGGGGGAGGGGGAAGAGGGAGAAGATCAGCAAATGACAACTGAGCAGGACTTAAAGGCAGAGGATCAGATCTGGGAAAGATTTCTCAGTGTGTAAAACTCTGTAAATACCCAGCTTTTTTTCAGTCTAATCCAAACATTTCCTACAGCATGTGGGAGTGCTCGAAACCTCAGCTTATGACCCAAACTGTCCTGAGTGCCAAGAGGTAACTATCCAGTGTCAGCACGTCTAGGAACCAGACAGTACGGAAATCCTGGAGTGAGGTAATCTTACCCACTCACACCTCATAAAGCCTTGCAGGAACTCATCTATCTGGGAAATCAAAATCCAGGTTTAACGATCCAGAACCTTGTTGTGAAGGTCAGTACTTGTGACATTTAATTTGTAATTATTATCCCAAAGAACTGAGGAGGCCCTACCCTTTGTTAAAACCCATCTGGACAAACAGACAATAAGAAGACCAATAATAACACTGCTTGGATGATGGATGCAGGAAAAAGGAGCATACTGTAGGTGTCAGGAAGGTTATTTCACTCCAAGGACAAGCCAGGAAACGGGAGGGAGCTGGAGGTCCTGGGTACAAACCCATCAGCCTGCCTGCCCTACAGAGCTGCTTGGAGAACACCACAAGTCCCAGCTGAAAGAAAAAGCTGAAGAACACAGTTTGTATCATCTGCAAGATTTCACAGAATATGCTTGGGTTTTTGCTTATTTGCGTTTTTTTTTTTTTTCCCCCAGTGAAATAAAAGCGGAATGCATTTACACTTCACTCCTCTGTTTCAGTCATTTCTGATTGACTTTAAACTTCTAGTTAAAAGTTGTAGTAACTTCTAGTAAACTTCTAGTAACCAACCAATTTTTCTTTTTTTTTTTTTTTTATTTTTCACAATGAATAAATGTTAACCTGCTTATATGCAAGGTTATCTTTATATGGGACAATTTCTGAAAGAATTCATCTCTGACTCTTCATGTACTCCTGGAACTCTCTGTGACTGAGTGTTCAGCTCAGAGCAGGGCTCAGAACCCATCAGCTGTAATACCTGATGCTGTGAGTATTTTCTTGGACTTGTTTAAAAAATTCTATGGGATTGCTTTTCAGAAAAGAAAAAAGTTCCCTATTTTTAACACGCATCTATAAAGAGGAAAACAACGAATTTTTAAGTTGTTGCAACACACTTTATTTTGTCAGGCAAATAGTATTTTAGATATTCAATTAAATAGCACTATGTTAAACTACATTTTGTTCTTTCTTACACACTATATAATGCATATTCACTGTAATGACAGTTTCATCATGCTAGGAACTTATACACATACCTACACTTTTAAAAACAAGATCTTCTTAATAAAACACGCATATCTACAGTAACAACAAATGCAAAGAACACATTGTTAGGTCAAGATTTCAGCAAACTTTACAAACTACACAAAATAAAAATAGCCAAAAAAATATCAGTACAAGGTGAAGTTCTTAGCAGAACATATTTTTACATTTGGTGAAGTTATGCCTAGAAGTCATTTTGCTTTTGTATTTTTTAAGGAATAAAATTATATACATTATTTAGTAATCCTCAAAATAGAAAGTATTAAATAGCACAAACAATATTATACTCTTCAGTTTAGGTGTTACCTACAGTAAAGGGGCTACTTTAAACAAATAAAAATCGCAGTTTGTCCATTCTGTACATTTTGGGCCAAACCCTCAGCTGGTATAAAGCACAGTTAGCTAAATGGACAGCAAGGAAGGTACATTGGTTTACACCAGCTGAGCATCTGGCTCCTGACTGCTCTATACACCGGGGAAGGCTGCTAACGGATGGAAGCTTGGACCAGTTACGCACTGACAGAAGCTTATTATATATGTGCTGAAGCTTTCATGCAGCAGGAAAAATGTTAGTTTAAGTATAATCCCTTAAACAGTCATACCATAATAATGGTATATGAAGCAGCTTTAAAAATATTGTTTTATAATAATATGAAACTCTGAGCTATGCTGATTGTTTTAAGGGAATCCCTTATTGCCAATATTCTATTAGAAAACAGTGTAACTATAATTTCTGAGGCCTAATGGGGGCCTATTAAAATATCACTGTACCTAACCACCTAAAGGGTAAATTGTACCCTTAAATACCTATTAATCACTGTATTCCATCTGGAAGCAATTATGATCCTCATAATAGACATTAATGTCACACTAACTCTGCAGTGAATCTGCTGAGGAATAGGAAGAGCATGGCAGCACACAGAGTATATGCACTAATGTCATTCCAGGAGGTAGTTCTATTTTGTGGCACTCAATTTTTGGTTTGTCACACGCTTCAGAAGTCAGTCATCCTCAGAAAAAAAAAAAAAAAAAAAGGCTGTTTGCTGCACTGAAAGTCAGCTGGGGAAAAACCAAATAAATAAAATCTTATTATCCCATACCCATCTCATTTTCCTTTTTTTTTTTTTTTTCCTCCAGAGTCTGTTTTGCCAGCTCTCGGGGCCAGATCCAAGCTCAGTGAAGTCAAAGAGAAAGTTTCCTGATGGTTTCCATAAGAAAGGCCTTAGATACCAGTGGTTACATAGTGCAGGAATACGCATTCCGGCCTCGATTAAGGAAAGCACTTAACTAGATGGCAACATACAAGCAGGCTGGCACTGCCATCCATCCCCTTTGAAGCAAGCAGTAAGCCCACAAATGACATTCAAAGAGCTCCCACCAGCACCAAAGGGACTTTGTCAAGAAGATAGTGTTTCGGTGGTTTGATCAATCAGGGCCCATTTCACAGTTATTCTGCATCAGGTTGTGATAAAGTGACACATCTAAACTGGTATCAGGTAAAGACCAGCGTTACCTCCATTGCACAGGATCTCAATTCGCACTGGCGCAAACCAGGGGGTGTTCTCCCACGCCCTGTACCGTTACTCCCTGGGTGTTCTAACAGAAGCAGAATCAAAATAATGCCCAAAGAGTTTCAACAAAGACCCATTAAAATGTTTAAAACTATGTTTTAAAATACAGAATCCATCTGTTACTGGCTGGAACTAACAACTTCTAAAATATACTTTTTCTTATCTTCTCTGAGTTCAGAAATTATTTTTTCACTACTCATTTTTTTTTCCCAGAAATTTACCTTATTTTTTTTTTTTGAGCTGGACCTAGCTCAGTTTTGAGTTGAACATTAGTTCATATTTTTGTATATTATCATAAAATACCATTGAATAAACCACAGTTTTTCTAAGGTACTTCCAGATCTCTGTTATCTATCTTCTTTGAACAGATTCAGTGGCTTCCAGAACACTCTTACATAGCAAAATGAGGAAGATTTCTCCCTATTTTTTGGCATTAGTGTTGTTGGAAATAAAAAAAAAGAAAAGAGCAGTTTTTCCCAGGATGACTTGATGCACATTTACCAATTTTTTAACTAAACATGCTTCATTAGACCTGACAGCTGCTTCTCAAACAAAAAATATTTCTGTTTAAACATGCCTCTCAAGTTGTTAAACTACTTGGGTTTTGACCCAAACCCATTTTTCAGTTTTATTTTTCCCTCATTCTTTTTTTTTTCTTTTCCTAATCTTTTAGCAGAAAACTGAAAATAAGAGGAAATTGTGAAAATAACATTGACAAGAGAGTGCAAAGACTGCAAAATGGAAATTATTTAATTTTAAAATTCTAGTTAAAATATATGCAACTTTGAGAAAACAGTTGAAAAATTAATGTTTTAAAATTCTAAAAGACACTTCTGATTTGTTTCCACATTGCAGATCATCTCCAATTTGTATCATGGAAAAGAATAAAGATAACCTCTGGTTTTAATTTCTGGGTAAATACTATACAGTAAACCTGTATTCTGTCCTTTGGAAAAAAATTGAGTATAATTCTTTGAAAAATAGCTAAAATATCTAAGTCACTGAGGTGTTTTTCAAAACTGTATGTATAACGAACATTCTCATGTTAGCTTTGTGCCATTTATAAAGCTATGCAGTGTTATAGGACACCCTAGTTTAATAAAAATCAATATGAGCAGAGATATTTTAAGTTACATTCCAGAACTCATGAATTTATTACATCTCATACTATGCACAATTATCAGTGTTCCCTCTGATAAAGTATATTTGTTTTGTTTTGTTTTTCTTCTACTCATTCCTTCATTTGACCTCTGAATGAATGAAACATTTCTACTATACTTTACTTGCTTCTTATCGGCACGCATTCACATGATTTGAACAATGAGTGAAAGCTGTAAACCCAATATTGAACAGTAAACAAGAAGAAACTCATGTTCTTAAATGCAGTGCAAGGAAATCTTAGTACCATCCTACTTTGAGCATGCATCTTAACCCAGATTCTTTCACCACCAGTCTGGCTGGTATGGTTCCAGAGTTGCAAGATGATGCATTGATTTTCTAAAAATTTCTATTCAACTGCAATTAGATACTGAGATGTTAAATGTGAATCTGGTTTAAGACGAATACTCAGTTCTGCTTCTAGGACAGAGCCCAACCTAGTGTCAGTAAGCAACCAGGAAAGTAAATGCTCTGCATTATTTTCTTTAGTTAAGTTACACTGCATTTTATTGGGAGGAGAATCTTTTCTGAGGCTTGCTGGATTTTCATTTAATTTTTCATCAGATTTGCTCAAATTTGTTCTCAAGAGACAAATATAAGTCCCCTACAGTAAGGACAAAGATATCTATTGCTACAAAATAAAATTAAGATCCAGGTAATTGATTTCTTCTATTTCTACTTTTCCTACTATTGATAAGGGCCTTTAGTTTGCTGTAGTCCCCTCTCATCTTCTGGGCTTCTTCCCTCAGCTGACCTTGCTGTCTACTGTCTTTGCAGTACTGGTTAATCATCTGCATTTCTGAGTGGCTGAAAGCTCCCACAAAGTCCTTTGGGTGGAACTGCAGCGCTCGCACTGAGCTGGCCCAGGTCCAAGGGGACCACTTGTCAGTCATGAAGGCCACCATCTCGGGATTCAACACTTTGAAATTGATCTTTGCCAAGGTCTGCTTGAAGTTGTTCTCTGTTGCAATGCAGTGGTAAAGCCCTCGGTCGCTGTCTTGGACAGAGCGAATGAGGAGTCCGTGCTCAGTAGCTATGATCCTATCGTTCAGCTTGACCTAAAGGACAAAAAGGCAGAAGGAACTTTTTAGGGAATGTTATGGAACAACACAGTATCGGACCTCTTGGTAAGCCTCACTTCAAACTCCTCTTTTTTTTTCTCAAAGGATTTCTTAAACGTACTGTATTTTGCTTTATCACATCTCCCAGACACCACTGTTACTGCTACTGTTAGGAGAGAACTTACCTCAAGGTAGGTGAGTGTTGCCAAACAAAATGACTTACATATTTGACTTACATATGTGTCCAGTTCTGGGCCCCTCAGTTCAAGAAGGACAGGGAACTGCTTGAGACAGTCCAGTGCAGGGCCACAAAGATGATTAAGGGAGTGGAGCATCTCCCTTATGAGGAAAGGCTGAGGGAGCTGGGTCTCTTTAGCTTGGAGAAGAGGAGACTGAGGGGGGACCTCATTAATGTTTATAAATATGTAAAGGCTGACTGTCACGAGGATGGAGCCAGGCTCTTCTCACTGGCATCCAATGATAGGACAAGGGGAAATGGATATAAGCTGGAACATAGGAGGTTCCACTTAAACATGAGGAAGAACTTCTTCCCAGTAAGGGTAACAGAACACTGGAACAGGCTGCCCAGAGAGGTTGTGGAGTCTCCTTCTCTGGAGATGTTCAAAACCCGCCTGGACGTGTTCTTGTGTGATCTAATCTAGGTGGTCCTGCTCTGGCAGAGGGATTGGACTAGATGATCCTTTGAGATCCCTTCCAATCCCTAACATTCTGTGATTCTGTGATTTTTATTCATTATGTTACAATAGATTTGATCAGGATGAAGACAAAGAGGCAAATCTAGAGGCTACATGAAAGAGGAGTTTTCATAATGTTCAAATAGTAGAGCTTAGGAAAGGAACGTTTTTTGCCAGGGTTACACCCCCAAGAATGTCTCTTCCAGCATCAGAGATTGCTGCGGAGACCTGATAGAAGAAAGGTGCAGAACTGGAGGTTGATCTGTCATTGAAGACAAGGTGGTTTCTAGTTAAATATTTTGACTTAGATGGTCTTAACCAGATGATCTTTGAGGTCCCTTCCAACCCTAACCATTCTATGACTTTGAGCAGGTTCCTGGGGCTAACTTCTGAAGAACTCTGCAGAGTCTATAGCCTGGTATAAAAGTTTTCATCTCAGTGGCTCACCTAGGACTTGGCTCATTGGGAACCAAGAGAGATTTTTCTACTCTCCTATTTCCTTTCTGGCTTCAGACTCTGGGCAGTCCCAGGAGACAGTCACATCATCCGAAGGTAGCAAGTTACCACAGCTTGTTATCACCTGATTATAAGTGACTGTGAACATGTCACATATCATATTGATACTGATTGGCTGTTGTTAGAAAATCATACAATCTAATCTTGTGATTTATTGTGACAGTGTTAATGAATCTTAAATTGCTGCTTTCTCAAAATCACATAGGATCCACAACACCATGTTAAAGCACTACCACTGAAATCCCCGTATCTAATTCCTTTAGACAGAAACCATTGACCAAGTCTGGGACGAGGAGTGGATTCAGCCGCACCTAGACTCCTCTCTGAGAAGGAGTTTAGAAACTTAGTTTCCACTTTAGAAAGAGTCCATTCTGAACCTCATGACTCAATGGGAGGTTGATATAAACCATTGATAAAGTCTGGGACTAAGTCTGGGTCCAGATGCATCTAGACTCCCCTCTGGGAAGGAGTTTCGAAAGCAAGGGGGTCCATTCTGAACCTTGTGACTCAACAGGAGGGCCTCCCTCATACTTTTTCCTTGATCCCTGTGTGAATCATTTTAGCCTAATTCTGATTTGATTTCTCCTTTGCATACTCCTTCTGTGTAGTACATAAGAATGAACCTTGCCATCGAACACCTTTACAACTTCATATTAAAATCACGTTTGTTAATATCTTTCATGGTGATTCTTTAGGATGCCCCATCCCTGGAAGTGTTCAAGGCCAGGCTGGATGAGGCGTTGAGCAACCTGGTGTAGTGGAGGATGTCCCTGCCCATGGCAGGGGGTTGGAACTAGATGATCTTTGAGGTCTCTTCCAACTCAAACCATTCTATGATTCTATGACCTAAATCACTCTCCTCCATGACAACTTTATACACGATTCTCTTGGGAATTAATATATTTATTATGCTATTCTGTTATTGTAAAGTTTTGTAGACATTGTGGAGGTTAGATTTTCAGAAATCTGAAAGCTTGAAATGTAATGAACCCTTTGATTGCTTTAGTTTGTCTGTTATTGAAAACTGTGTTGATTCTAATACAGTTATTAAATATAAGAACAAAAAAGGGAGATGTGCTGAAGCAAAGGGTTAAAGAATTACACCTAGATTGCCAAGACATGGCTTGAGTCTCTGAAGAGAACATGAGAAAAACAGCATGAAAGACTCTGTGAAAGGCTTGTAAGTCCTCTCTGATTTTGGGAAATGGCCTGATATGAGAATAATGCTTTTCAGTAATTATCATCTATCAACAGACACCTTATTACTTAATATTTCCTTTTGAAAGATGTTCCTTTTTATTCATATAGAAACTGTCTTGGATTTGAAATGGATTTTTTCCCCTTTTATATTACTTAAGGAAGGCACATTCCCCATAAACAATCATACTGTATATTACAGTGCTGAAACTTGAGAGCCTTGGAGGGTGCAGTAATGGAAAATGTGATTGCACCATGGTGAGGAAATGCTTTTGTCAATACGTGTTCATAGCCTGGACTAGTTTCTTGCTAAAGAAACCTTTTCCATTTCTCCTACTTTTGCCTTTTATCTCTTCAATAGCACAGAAGGGCTACTGCATGCTGACTTCTTTCTGAACTTTATACAGGTTATTGCTTTTACGCCCATTTCCTCAGATCAATAAGAAGTCCTGAGCGGTGCAAACCTTCAGTTTGCAATTAGTAAGGTGGGAAGGAAAAATTCATTAACTCGTTCCCTTTGACTTTCGGTGCTGAAGGAATTTTCTGATAGCTGTTCAATAGAAATCAATGGGGCTGAAGAGTGAAGCCACATCTGTACTGGAGTCTGCCCTTATTTAGATGAGTAAAGTGCTGGTCACTATCCTGCACCTACACAAATTTTCCAGTTTCACTGTAACCACTGTCTGATGAAAACACAAACACTCCCTCGCCTCGATCCGAGGAGTCGATGCGATGCTGACTGAGGTCCCTTCCAGAGCTGCTGCTCACATTACTCACCTCTTTCCTCCTGTCATTGTCTTTCTGTAGCAGCCATTTAATAGAAGCCTGGGGAGATTTGGGTGTGCATTCGAGAAAGGTGGTGTTGTTTTTTACTCCATACTGAACTATTTCTGCAGCGTTTCTGTATGCTAGAAAGAAAAAGAAAACAGGTCAGGCTACTGTAAACAACAGCGATTTGATATAGAAAGCAAGTAACTGCAACACAGGTAAAACGTTTGCAATACAGGTAAAATGAGGTATATCTGATCCTGATATTGGCCAATTACCAGTAATTTAGGGCACAACATTTTCAAAGAAATCATCTCATTCTCTACAAGAACGCCTGTCTAGAACTGCCCAAAGGAGCATGAAGCATTTAATATACTTCTTCACACCTCACAGTTTATGAGTTGGGGGAATATGGTTGTATGACTTGGAGCACCCTGAAGAAGGCTCCGTCTGTTCCAGCTGCGTGCAGTATCACGGGGAGGCGGGAGAGGGCAGGCCTGGCTCCCACTCCTCCACCTCTCTTGTGGAGCAGGGAAGGGACTCTGAATCTGAAATGCAAGGAATACGTAGACAGGCCAGCAACAGAGAGCAGGACAGATTTATAGCGCTCCAGCAACACCTGGGCAAGTGCTGAGCATATGTCATCGCTTAGACTTGTTGTGCCCCTTTATAGTCTTGACAGACCAACTATTGGCAGTTACCGACAGGAACATTTAGATACTCATTGCTTGGCCTAAATCATAATATTTGTCCTGAAAACAATACATTTCCAGATTTAAAAGCTTACATTATACATGAAATACATTTTTTTTATGAAGGAGCAATGAATACCGAACAATATGAGAAATGTGAATAACTAGAGGTCTACACGTCTGAAATCTGACTCTGCTTTTGCACAATCCTAACACTGCTTTTCCTCAGACTCCACTTTATCTCCCATTCTTTTCAGCTTCTTTCATCAACTGATATGTGAAATTGGAATCCATTCTACAAAAGGAAGGAGATTTTGCTTAGCTCTAGTTCTTCAAAGTTTTTAGCACATTTATGAAGTTGTACCAAGCTCAATTGTAACTTTTAGGAGAATAATGTGGAACTATTTTGCATTCAAAAACCATAAGATAGCAAAGAGTTTATCTGTGGGCTGACCTATCTGTAGCTGTGGAACAGTGAGAACCAAAGCTGTCACATATTATTATGTACACTGGAACTAGGTGTACCACAGAAAAGCCCTGTCCTTTAGGTAGATTGCAGTTTTTTTCCCAAACATAGTAATTTTGCTATAAATGGCTTTAATTATATCTTGAAAGAGTCTAAGTTGCTGTTTCTTTTTATCTTTTTTTTCCACTGAGGAAACAACTGACATCTACCTATGCTATATCCCACTGCTGTCACCAAAACATCCTTTATAAAGTTGCTAAAACATACCAACCTATGAATACATCCATGTTTTAAAAAAAATGCTTGGAAAACAAGAAACTTGTTTCACAAGACTGTCAAGGTTTAAACATTTTTTCCCCTCAGCCCAGAAAGCAGACACTTGACATTTTCACATTTTCCACATCAAAAGAGGAGACACCCCACCTTGGCACAGACAATGGCTGGGTGGTCACAACACATGCCTGCAAGGTTGGACACGCAGCTCAAGTTACTTCATGATTCAGAGCCTAAGCTTTAATATGGATCTCTCAGAGCTCAGGTGCATACTCTAATAGCGGGGTCATCTTTTGTAACTACCTGTTCAAGCTATTCAGCTTCATATAAATGACCTAATACTGAGTCATGGGGAAAGACCCACTGGTGCTGTAGACTGGCAGCAAGAGCAGGATTAGCCATGTTGGGGCCGAGGGACCTACATCCAACTGGTTGTTGTGGTCTGTTGTGATGCAGGAGACTCTTCTGAGACCCAGCGGAGACCGTTTCAGTGGAATTATTATTAACTGAACCTTTCACATGTAACTCTTACCGCGTTGTTCTTTTATTCAAGAAATTCAATCAAAAATTTACAATCAGATCTATTGTTTGGTCTCCAGATGTTACAGATGAGAATGCACTTCGAAATGAAAGCTCGGAAATAGAGGTGAAAGGAACAAAACTCTCTAATGTGTGTCCTTGGTTTGATGGCATACATTGCCACTGCCTAGCTCAGACATGCATGGAGTTGAAGAGGATTAAGAAGCCTGTAGGTATGTATCTGCTCTTACTATGGCTTTGGCCATATTTGACTGGTTTCTATCAATCTGGAGAAAGTGGTAGCTGGGAGGGCAGAGCATTGGCTCCCCAGCCCACTCCCTCCATGCCAGGCTGACTAACACAGGTGCACAGCTGGAAATAAGAGACTTCATAAGAGATTTGGAACAGTTTATTTTCCCATCAAAAGGGAGAAAGGAGTAAACTTAACTCAAAGGACAGGCCTAGAAGCTGCTCTTTGCTGAATGATGTGCTCCAAAACTCAACATCATTCAGAATAATTCTGAGGTCCAAGACTTAAAGGCATGAAGAGGCATTAAAAAAGACTGAAGGGATTTAGAAGTAGAAAAGCTCTCAAATTCACCGTACCTGTTTCTAGTCAACACTGTTAGATTCTCATGTCATGTATGCTGAACTATGTATTTCATGGGTTATCATTTTATCATATATATGCAAGTTTCATGCAATTGCAAGGAAAGATGTTACAACCAAATCAAAACAAAATTCAGACTTGGAAAATAATTATGCTTTACCAGTAAACCACACAGATAATCTAAGTTATGATGAATCACATCTAGGAAAGCCATATGTTCTTTATATAGCACGAGGATCTTTAAATTATAGTACCTTTCAGGTTGAAACCTCGGCACTGAGTCAGAGGGTTTCCATGTCTCACGTCTTGCCTACGACTCCTCCTGAAATATTTTGTAAAAACAAAATGTTATTCCAAGATAGCTACATGGCAAATAAGCACCTTTTTATTTGTGGGGTTTGTCTTTTTTTTTTTTTTACCAGATCAACTGTTAAGAGATAGTTCATGACCTACTGTGAGTGTGCTCTACTCTTGGCAGGCTTCCTAGAGTGAAGATATTGTTTAAATGAGTAGTTTGTTTGCTGAAGTTTATAAAATGGTTGTACTTTTGATAGTTCAAGTAGTTACACAATGGAGGTATACAGATGGAAGGGCTAGAGGTGATGCATAAAATAGACATAAGTTCACTGTTGCAAGACATAATATTCAACCAGAACCTCGAGCTGGAACCCTTCATAAAGACAAGCACCTCAGAACGAGATGCACAGCACTAAATCTAATGCATCAACAGAAAATTATGACATAGGGCATGTTCCCTCCTTGATTTTAGCAGGCACCTTATTTTTGGTGCCTGTTGCCACCTTGGTATCAGAGTGACTGAATTGGCTGGATGGTCACACTCAAAGAGTTGTGGTCAACGGTTCAATGTCCACATGGCGGCCTGTGACGAGTGGTGTTCCTCAGGGGGTCAGTACTGGGGCCAGTGCTATTTAACATCTTTGTTGGTGACATGGACAGTGGGATCGAGTGCACCCTCAGCAAGTTTGCAGATGACACCAAGTTGTGTGGTGCTGTGGACACGCTGGAGGGAAGGGATGCCATCCAGAGAGACCTTGACAGGCTTGAGAGATGGGCCTGTGAGAACCTCATGAAGTTCAACAAGGCCAAGTGCAAGGTCCTGCACGTGGGTCAGGGCAATCCCAAGCACAAGTACAGGCTGGGTGTGGAGAATGGATTGAGAGCAGCCCGGAGGAAAAGAACTTGGGAGTGCTGGTGGATGCGAAGCTCAACATGAGCCGGCAACGTGCACTGGCAGCCCAGAAAGCCAACCGTAGGCTGGGCTGTATCAAAAGAAGCGTGGCCAGCAGGTCGAGGGAGGTGATTCTGCCCCTCTACTCAGCTCTCGTGAGACCCCACCTGGAATACTGCCTTCAGCTCTGGAGTCCCCAGCACAAGAAGGACATGGAGCTGCTGGAGCAGGTCCAGAGCAGGGCCATGAAGATGATCCGAGGGCTGGAACACCTCTGCTATGAAGACAGGCTGAGAGAGTTGGGGCTGTTCAGCCTGGAGAAGAGAAGGCTCCAGGGTGATCTTATTGCAGCCTTCCAGTACTTAAAGGGGGCCTACAGGAAAGCTGGAGAGGGACTTTTTACAAGGACATGTAGTGATAGGACAAGGGGCAATGGCTTTAAACTGAAAGAGGGCAGATTTAGATTAGATATAAGGAAGAAATTTTTCACTCAGAGGGTGGTGAGGCACTGGAACAGGTTGCCCAGAGAAGTTGTAGCTGCCCCATCCCCGGAAGTGTTCAAGGCCAGGTTGGATGAGGCTTTGGGCAACCTGGTGTAGTGGAGGGTGTCCCTGCCCATGGCAGGGGGGTTGGAACTAGATGATCTTTGAGGTCCCTTCCAACCCAAACCATTCTATGATTCTATGATTCTATGATTCTATTCATCCAGAATGGTGGAGAGCTAAGATTCAGTTCTGTCCTTTACTTGTATGGGAGGGACTATTTCCAAAAGATACTCAAACTCACCAAGTTCAGAATACTTCCAAATTAGATTTTGTTATATTATTTAGATGACAGATGCAAAATTGTGATTCTGTAGCAAGCTAGCTAGGGAACTTAGTGGGATTGGGAATACTGGGATTTCAGTCCTCCTCAGCTATGTGGTCATAGCTCACAGAATTCAGTGCATGAAAATCCGATATCTGAATTTTTTATTCTTAAGACATTCTACTTTGTCTACGGAATATTCTTTAAGTTAGTTCATATTTATCAAGTTCAACAAAAAATATATTGGTGATAGGCTGTTGCAAATGGATGCTGCTGGGATATGTAACAGCTGTATTCTGAACTATGCACTAATGACTCCTGAGATCAGAAACCATTAAAACCCCTGGAGCTCCTGTACTGCTGAGTGAAGGGTGATGCCTCTGTGGTCACATTACACCAGGTACTGCACAAACAGCCAGAGACAGTGTCTATAATCCTGTGTCACCTGATCCTTCACTACATTGTTTAAAAGGAAACATTTGAAAGGTGATGTTTCAAAGGAGTAATTTCTGACATTCCAAGTATATTTTTAATGTTTACCATCAAAAATATTTTATCTTATGCCTTGGGATCTTAACCTTTGTGAACTATTTACGTGAGTCAAAGGAGACAATGAAGAATTTTGGAGTGAATTTCAGGATTCCTGTGCTACTGTGAGCTGCTCCACGCTGTCAGAAATGGCATGTCGCTTGCATGAAGCCGTTCTGAGAATGTAAACTTGCAGTTTGGTATTTATAAAAAAAAAAGGTTGAGAAGGTGGTGTTTAGAAAATAAAGATAATACTGTCAGGTGTTTTGAGGTCAAACAATGGTGGATGAGGAACCACAGTAATCCATGGGAGGCAGAAGTGTCAAAGTAGCAAATAAGCAAATACGTCCAGCAGATACTACTGTCTAGACTATGGGATTTGGCTCTAATTACTAATGTTTTTTCCTTCATAATCTCTCGTGTTAGATAAAGGGACAACTCATTTCCTTCACATATAAAACCCAGATTTTTTCCATACAGTTTTAGGTGTTTGTTTTGGTTTGATATAAAAAGCAAATTGCAAACAAAATGCCAGCGTGAAAGCAAGCCTCAGTGGAAATAACCCTGGGTGTAAATAATGGGGATGGCAAGGAATCCACTGGAAACTGCATGGACTGGGTATACCTGACTGCTTATTATGTCTTTCAGCAACTATGTTAGTGTAGGAGTTAGGTGGCTTGAGACTCGGGGATTTTTCTTTTCTTTTCTTTCCTCCTCCCACCTTCTGACCTTTGTTCCATGGAAGAAGACAATCAGTTTGCAGACTGGAGGCTGAATAACTTGAGTGAAAGCAGTAAAAATCCCAGGTGCTTTACAAATTGCTACATGGCCAGGCTGGGCTTTACCTTTTAATCTCCAATAAGGAATGAATTAAGAAAACTTTGCGATAACAAAAGTAATTGTCTCTAATCCCAGGAGACGACATTGTTGTCAGATAGTTGGGTCAATGGAGCAGAGCCAAGCTTTGCCTGCTTCTGTCTACCGTCTCCCTCCATGTAGGTAAAGGAGTGAATCCCATTATCTGTACCTGGTGTTCTGGGTCTTCAGCTTAGGTGCAGGCACTGGGCACAGTAGCACATAGTGGTTAAAGCTCTGGCGTATATCTGAAATGTTCGTCTCCTCTGCAGTAATACCTCATTGTGTATTCTGTAGCTTTGTTTGTATCTGAAGTGAAATCTTAGTAATACAAGAGCTCACTACAGCCTCCTGCTATTAAATATTTCCCTTGGGAGGAGAAAAGAGGCTCCTGTTTTGCATAAGAATGATGAGATGGACTATTAGCTCTGTTGTAAATTAAAAAGAAATTGCTTTTCCTGTCTGCTTTAATAAATCTCATGTCAAAAACCCCAAATCTGCAGGCATTACATGGAAATCACATTTGCCTAAAATTTCCCTGGAAATAATTCTTCTCACTTAGGAGCAAATGAGGAACAAAAAAAATAAATTACTTTATTCCTTAGACAGCCCAAGAGATATTTTGCTGCATTTAGGGTTATCATAATTACATCCATAGTAAGCAACTGAATTTAAACAAAGGGAACAAATGTTTTACTGATTTTTTGTGCATGAGACAGAGGATTAATATTTATGATTAGGAACGTGGGTTTTTTTTTCTTTTTTTCAGTCCATTACTTTAAATATGAAAAGGTAAGCTCTTTATCATACCCACTTGCAGCATACACTCCTGGGTGACGAACAATGCCAAGCACAATAGCTACGGAGGTATTATTTGAAAGTGCTCCTGAAAGGAATGACAGCCCACTTCTACATCCCACCCCAGGCTACAGAGCAGAACAAAAGCCTTCTTTCCTTGCAGACTTCACTGGGCTGCTAAATGCTGCTCACCTTTTCCCTGTGGGATAAAACCTGGAGCAGGAGTTGCCATCCCAGGCGCAGTATGGATCTCGGGCTAGGCAGCAGTCAGCGCAGGCGGTCCCGTAGATGTGGCAGCGATGCAGGGACACCTGGGTGACCCCTTCGTCTGAGCTCACGTACAACTGTTGCTGTAGAAGGATATAGAAAGATTTACTTCAGATGTGGAGGAGCTTCGCCCAAGGCTCGGCTAACACACCTAAAAACCTTTCAATTAATTTTGGAATTAACTCAAGACCGAGAGAGAAGCCACTAATACATATAAAGCCAAGATAAACAGAAATCTCCCAGGTGAACTGGCCTATAATATTTCCACCTTCCTGTCAGAAAACACTTAGAAATACTGGAGAATGTTAATGTTTTTCGGACATTGAGTGTCATTGTTCTGTTCCTGGGGCAGACAGGCGGAGTTAATTTTGCTCAGATTCGAGGACTTGGTTCTTATTCAGTGAGGATTATTGGCTCAAGTCTTTGAACTAAGTATTTTCTCTGCATATAGTCACTTTAATAAATATTATGCAGAGTTCCTAGCTGGATTCTCCAGTGCATAAATTTCCAAGACATTAAATCTGAAGATTATGTTGAGGCTTAGGGCTAGATTCTGATAGCCTTATATATCTGGAAAAATAAGCCAAAAGAACTTTCATAATAAATGAGAGCTTTTGCAATGAAGTTCAAAATGAATAGGTCATCACCAAAATCTAGGGCCAAAATGACTGGTTTACTCAGAAACAATTCATCAGATATTCTTCAAATATAAATTAATATTGAATAAAAACTTTGAAACTCCCCTGATCTTTTTGTCATAAAACTAAAAAAGCTCAGTGAATTCAATTTACTGAATAATGTTTACCCTGTAGCAGTTTTGTAAAATATTTAGCAACACATTGCCTGCAATATCATGGAATACATGTTTTTAGTTTGAGTGTTTAACGTTTCAGCAGAAATTCTCTGAGATGTTTTCATCATTCTTATTGCCTTTGTTTATTACTAATAAACAAACACACACAATTGCGCCATGCACCCAACAGCCTCAACACTGCCTTTTTCCATTGACCAGACTTTCAAGGGAAAATTTCTATTTAGGACTTATAAAAGAAAAGGGGAGGGCAAATTTCCTCTTTCGTACCTTTTTCCCCCCTTAATTATCAAACAAAACAACTAAAAATTGACACTTTCAGTGAATTAGAAATGATACATAGTGAATATAAATTGTTTTAACTTAGTGGCGCTGAGGTGTATAAATAGCTCACACAAACTTCAGTCAAGTTTCTACATATTCACTATGGAAAATCTCCTGCCTATATTCAGTATGCTGCACAAAAATTGGTATTCTAACATCTTTAAGTGAATTTATTTCTCAATTAATAAGCACTAAGTAAGTATTCCACCTTTCTTTACCTTTTTAGATGAAATCTTCATTGTTGTTATAGGAGAATTACTCTGAAAGACAAAATTCCAAACCACAGTTACAAGGACTCTCTTGTTAATACTGTCCCAACATTAAAATTTAAAATTCAATAAAACCTAAGTCATACCTAAGAAAACAATAACTTTTCATATCTTGGAAAGGCATCACTCCTACTAATTTTTTGCTATTTTCAGAACTAAACAAATTACATAAATCAAAGTAATGTCTCACTCTCACTAAGTGTGTTGACTAAACTCAACTGCATTATTACTCCTGTGCACCAACAATTTTTTGTACATTTCTAATTAACCTGCATCTGTGCTACCTCAGCAATATAGGAGCCATGTGTTTTGAAGCCATGACTCTCACTTTGTAATAAGAAACAATGTTTGTTCTTTGACGATGATGATGAAGGAAAATCATACAATAGCTCATGCATATTTAGCACACGATCCAGATTAAGAATATGTCATATTTCTCCTACACATTATCTACAGTGCATACAGTTTGGTTACCATCCAACATATACTTTCAGATTATCAATGACTAGAATATTAAAAATGGTATGTGCGTTATTGAATGTTTCTTTCCCAGAGACAGTACTGTGTACTACCGTGTGTCATCACTGCAATCTATTATTGTTTGTGTCCAAACCAAACGTTAAAGAGCTGGAAAAGAAATTATCACATTCATTGCCTTAAGTAAGTGAAGTGATTTATTATTGTCTTCCAAACAAATGATAAAATTGATGGTAATAAAAATATTCAGCATTTTTTAAAGATTTAGCATTTTCTCAGTCTCAGAGGAAAGCCATAACGGTGGGCCAGGATTAACTGCAGTCGACTGCAAGCAGAGCAGGGAGGCCAGGACTAGAAAATCTGGCTATGAATCATGTGAATTGGCAAAGGTTTGAAGGAGTTTAGAGCTGCTCTAGTATTTCATGAACTGTCTGGAGACTCAGGGTCAAATGCAACATTGGATCTGGTGCCACATTCTCCTTTCCTTGCTTATACTCTGGAAAAGAATCAGTGCTTTGCTTAGTCTCAATATTTACCAGCACACAGCCAGTGATCTCATTCCCCCTCTCTTGCAGAGACTCATCAAAATGCTGCCACGCTGCCTTCACAGATTGCAATGACAGAGGTTATGACATCATGATTTTTAGGGTCAGGATAAAAAAGTCTGTGCACAGAGACCCAGAAGCAAGGTTTAGGGTCAGGATTCCTCTCAGCCCACCTACCTGCTTGCTGTAATAATTTACCTTTCAGTGGGAGGAATTACTACACTTGGGTGAAGGGTACGCTTTAGGTAATATTATTCACATTATCTTTTTTAAAGGGAAGTCTTCAACAAATGCCCAAGATGACTAATTATGCCTTTATGAGGGTTAAAATAGAGTGCATTCTTTTTCTTGAAGAGATTGTTAATGCTGGCTGTCTCGATAAAAAGGCTTGTATTTTCCTTTTTGTATTCCCTCAATGAAATACAGAAAAACCCATGGCAAAACCCTTAACTAAGTTTAGAGAGGCATACTACCATTTGCTACAAGACTACTTGTTTTAAAGAATAGCCCATTCAAAAATTTGAAAGGGATTTTTCCACATGAGGGTGAACATTTTCTTTAGATTATTACAAGCTGCTACATGCCAGAGTGATTGACGGGGGCTATTCCCTTATTTCTCCCTGTAGATGTTTATGTTTCTTTTCAGCTTATGTTGTGTTAAGCTTGTAGCTTTCTGGACTCCAGAGGCATGTGGCTTTGAAGAACTGGAGTTAAGCAAAAACAACACTAGCTTGCTTCCATTCTGCAGCTCAGAATCAGAAATATTATCGGATAATCAAAGCAGCACAAAAAAATCTCAGATTCCGTCTGTAAATAGCGACAGCCTCAATACATGATGCCAATGATAAAAATTGCCTTCTGGTAGCCACTATAACATGACCTCATAAAATGTGATTATCAAAATCCTTCTAGACGGTATAACAATATAAAAAAATAAGTAACTTAAATATAGGGAAAAAAGAAAACAAGCTAGCTACAGCCTTCATAACTGTGGACATCTTATATTCTTCTTTGGGTGGGTATCAAGATGACAGTATGCACATTTACTTGATCTTTTATCAAGTCACAGTTGGCCTTGCCAAAATCTCTTAGAACAAAGTGTTTGTGTGAACACACACATTGGAAGAATAAAAGTAGGAGCAAGGCAAACCTGAAAAACCTCCAGCTCTTCTAAAATGAGTTCTCCGCTTGCAGAGAAGTTGGTGGGTAGGACAACAACTTTTTGTATGGTTCCTTGATCTGGAAAAGATGAGAAAAAGTGAGACCATGTGGCAGAGAGAGAGATAAAGAAAAAAGCAGATGCACCATTATCAATTAAGAAAAGAAACCATCAAAGCAAGCACTGTGACATAGAGAAAGATATTCAGTAATTTCTAGAGTTTAGGGTCAGAAAGAACCATGATATGATTCCTTCACAACTCCCAGACTGTGGATAACCTATACATGACTTTATATAGTATTATTCTTCTGTATGAACATGCAGAAGTCATGGTAAGTTTGGAGTTATTACCATTACTGTCACCATTCTACCCAAAAAGACCAATCAAAATCAGTATCTTCTATACTAGTTGCTGTACAGACACACAGACAGAGGCAGTATCTATCCTAATGATCTCAAATTAAAAACACAGCAATATAAACAGGTAAAACAGAGCTACTGCAGAATTCAGTATAAATTCATATTCATTAATAAAACGTAATGAAAATTGATGACATGACAGGTCATCCTGTCAAAGAATAACTCTATCCATGCCTAAACAAAGTAAGATGAAAGCTTTATTTTTTCAGGAGATTCAAACAATAATCGAGGTCATTACATATTGGTAGGAGTCAATATTTTGGTCCCTAAGGAAAAAAGGAAAAGAAGGTGAAGATACTGTAGTTACTTTGTCACAGCTGCTTTCTCAAAATTCAGTTCCAAGACTCCCAAATTCACATAGGTCAAATGAATAAGAAGCAAGAATGAGGCAATGGCAGTGTTTTTGCAGGGCAGATGCAATGAGTGAGACCAAAGGGATATTTGTGATTAGTTTTCCAAATTTTTTAAGTGGAAAGAACATATGACATGGAGGGGTTCATCTGTGAAGGTTGAGACAGCCACTGAAGTATTTCTGATGTGACAGAAAAGGCAGACTGTGAGAAAATCAGAAGGACAAGCATGGGATATTTTCACTTGGAAAAGTATTCCTCTTTCCTGAAAGGCCTGGAAATTAGTCTGAGTAGAATTAATTTATTTGCTCAATACTGATTCTGAGGAATGAGACCACATGGTATCGATTTTGTTTGGCCTTCAAAAGTTTTATGAGCAATATAGAGTTGTACAGTTAGTAAAACATTAGTACAGCACAATATAGGTAAGTATCTAGGTGTGTTTTTATGAATTTGTGATACAGGAAAGGAAATCTCAGCTTCTTGTTTGGCTATTCATGATGTAGACAATGTAAACCGAAAAAGGGCAATTTTGCTTTTGCTTTTAAGGTCAGTGACTAAATTCCACAGCCAGAACTGCAATGCAAGTTGGTTATAGTAAATAATGTACATCTTATTTCCCCGGAGGAAATAGCCAATAAGAATATGTTTTATTTGTTAAAAATAAGGTTTAAAGCCAGAATATTGATATGTAACGACCTGACCACACATAGAGTGTACATTGCAGTATTTTGTTATTTGAAAAAAAAGGAAAAGTGAAACTGAAAGCTGACAAGACTTAAAAATGTGTAGCTATCAATTGTACATGCTCAGGGCACATTAGGCGTGAATTTTTCAGGAGAATTTTCTATGGAGAACATTTATTGTCATTATACAATGGCATGATAAAACAGTTCCTTCCGAAGAAACTTTACCGAAACTAAATCTTGTGACAGCACAGCTGTGGTTTAGACTGGGTGCCAGTATTAGCAAGGCTATGAGAACCTGAGAGAGATTTACTAACTGCCAGGACTCGCTGAAGCTTTAAACTGCTGCAGATGCATCCCTCGTTGGAGCTAAAGAAAAGCATGTGTGTGTGCGTGTGCATGTGTGTGTGTGTTTTTCTGCTCCTACTGAAGAGAATGACCCACTCACAAATACACATGGCTTAAGTCCAGTCTAACTGCTTCTTTGCATTCTTTTATCAATGTCCTCTCTCTAACATTAAACTATCATAGAATCATAGAATAGTTTGGGTTGGAAGGGAACTTTAAAGGTCACCTAGTCCAAACACCCTGCAGTGAGCAGGGACATCCTCAACTACGTCAGGTTGCTCAGAGCCCCGTCCAACCTGACTTTGAATGTTTCCAGGGATGAGGCATCCACCACCTCTCTGGGTAATCTGTTTCAGTGTTTCACCACTCTCATTGTAAAAAATTTCTTCCTTATATCTAGTCTAAATCTACCCTCTTTCAGTTCAAAATCATTGCCCCTTGTCCTATCCCAACAGGCTCTGCTAAAAAGTTTGTCCCTATCTTATAGGCCCCCTTTAAGTACTGAAAGGCTGCTAGAAGTTCTCCTCAGACCCTTCTCCAGGCTGAACAACCCCAGCTCTATCAGCCTGTCTTCATAGGAGAGGTGCTTCAGCCCTCGAATCATCTTTGTGGCCCTCCTCTGGACCTGCTCCAGCATGTCCATGTCTTTCCTGTGCTGAGGACCCCAAAGTTGAATGCAGTACTCCAGGTGGAGTCTCACAAGAGCAGAGTAGAGGGCCAGAACCATGTCCCTGGACCTGCTGGCCACACTTCTTTCGATGCAGCCCAGGATACAGTTGGCTTTCTGGGCTGCAAGTGCACACTGTTGGTTCGTGCCCAGCTTTTCATCCATCAGTACTCCCAAATCCTTCTCCTCAGGGCTGCTCTCAATCCCTTCATCCCTCTGCCTATATTGATTCTGGGGATTGTCCCAACCCGTGTGCAGGACCTTGCACTTGGCCTTGTTGAACTTCATGAGGTTCACACTGGCCCACTTCTGGAGCCTGTCCAGGTCCCTCTGGATGGCATCCCTTCTCTCAGGCATGTCAACTGCACCACTCAGCTTGGTGTCATCTGTAAACTTGCTGCCTGTGCACTCAATCTCACTGTCTATGTCATTGATGAAGACATTAAACAGTACTCATCCCAATATGGACCCCAGAGGGACACCACTTGTCGTTGATCTCCATCTGGACATTGAGCTGTTGACCACTATACTTCGGATGCGACCATCCAACCAATTCCTCATCCAATGAAGAGTCCACCCATCAAGTTCATATCTCTTCAATTTAGAGAGAAAGATGTTGTGGGGGACCATGTCAAAGGCCTTACAGAAGTTCAGACAGATGACATCCGTAGCTCTTCCCTTGTTCACTGATATAGTCACTCTGTCATAGAAGGCCACTCAGTTGGTTAGGCAGGACTTACTCTTGGTGAAGCCATGTTGAGTATCTTGAATCACCTCCCTGTCCTCCATGTGCCTTTGCATGCCTTCTAGGAGGATCTGCTCCATGATCTTCCCAGGCACAGAGGTGAAGCTGACAGGTCGGTAATTCCCAGGGTCCTCCTTTCTACCCTTTTTAAAAATGGGTGCAATGTTTCCCTTTTTCCAGTCACCAGGGACGTCGTCTGATTGCCATGACTTTTCAAATATAATCAAAACTATACCGTACAAATACTATATCAGAAGTGCAGGAAGGACTCGCAGCCTTTGGTGGCTTTTTTCAGCTGCCTGCAGTGTCAGCTGCCTATAGCCCTGACACACAGGGCACTAAGCACGTTGGCAGTGACCTTACCTGCAAAGGAATGTGAGGCTGCTGAGCCTCTGAAGAACCGGTTTATTTCAATGATCCATTAGCACATGCCACACATTTAAAATTCCTCAGTTGACTTTGGTCCTCAAACATTGCCCCAAACTGAAATCAGAACCTGAGGGGAGATTTTATCCTGGGCATTGGCACAGAAAATACTGATAATGCCTGACGCCAAGTCCTTGTGTCCTAATAACCTTTCTTATTTGAAAACTAGGTCCCTATCTGTCTTTTTGTCACACCCCAGAAAAATACACAGAGTTAAGGACTGTTTACCTTGGTATTCATTCCCTTTAACTCAATATTTTACCACTCACTTTGAATCAGTATTATACCATGAGGGACAGATTGTTGCAGGAAAGAATGATCCACTGCTTTAAAGGAATTACTAAACTTAATGTAACATTTAAAATAAATATTCATGTTAGGGAAAGCAGGCAAAAAAAAAAGTTATTCATTAAATGAAACCATCTAAAGCAAGGAATTCTGAGTCTGTACATATCTTTATACATCCAACAATACATGGCTTGTAGGCTATGCACCCTCCACCCCTTCTAAAGATTTTCTACCATTTTTCAGCTTGTTCCTTAATAAATGAAAAGCAAATATTTGTGCCCAGAAAACGCTTCTTATTCCATTCTCAGTGGTACTGAGGTCTTCACTATAAGCACAGTAACTGACAAATCAAGTGACTTATATGAGTTCATGTCAGAAAGCTTATGGTTTTTTGCTTCTTTCTTTTAATGGCAAGGCAGCAAACTAAATTCCCTGGGTCAGAAGGAAGGTTGGAAAGGATGCAGCACTGTGCACTGCAGGAGATATATGCAAAGCAGAAGTGCCTGAGCTGTTTCCCAGTGTATTTCACAATAGCTAATCTTTTGTGTTGTGAGTCAGGCATAAAAGATCACTGAACAAGTATAAGTCAATTTTTTTCACATTTAGGTCAACTTGTGAAATTATAAGCTAATTCTGTAAAAATCATAAAAGTGAACAGGATGATCTCCTTCTCTGTTTACTAGTGACTTTCAGAAATCCACTTGCAAACAATTCTACATTGTTATGCTTTCACACAGCCATGAAAAAAGCTATTGTGTCTCCAGAATATCAATCCAGCACCAGAATGGATGCAGTGAAGAGGCAGATTTATGCTTACCACTTCCCTGACTTTTCACCAGGAGCTGTCTGCAGCCTCGTATCAGCCCAGCAGCCTGTGGGTCAAGGGCAGACAGACAAACAAGAAGGAATCTCCCTCACGCTGATGGCAAGAGGACACGGGCGACTCATAATGACTGTTTTTCTGTTTCAAACCTGCTTGAAGAACTGTAGGTCTCCCAGTTTGACATGGAAGACAATGTTACTGAGACTGTAACGAGATGACCTCTGAGATGACCAAGAAAGAGGGAACAGCAAGGAACGAAAGTGCTAATATCCTGAAGGCTAAAATATGGTTCAGAGAATATGCAGAGTGGGAAATAAATAGAGAAGGAAGGCAGTCCAATAAATGGTCCAAGGAAGGAAGGAGAGACAAATTAACAATAATAATAAAAAGTAATAATAATAGAAAAAGAAAAAAGAAAAAGAAAAAGAAAA